CCCGCCCCAGCCTGATTCCTACAGCCCCAGGAGGCCCACCACCGGGCACGGCTGCCCTACTGGACGCCAGCACTTTATCTCCCCTAAGAGGGTCCCACACACTGTCTTTGCTTAGACCATTTCTTCTCCCTGGGATGGTCTCCAGCTCTGAGAAGCAAAACCGTGTGCATGATACACGTCCCAGTACAAAAATGAAACCAGTTTTCTACAGTTTACGATTATTGTAGAAGTTTAGCAGTAAAAGATATCTAGGGTAAAATTAACAATCACCCTTTCCGCCTCTCATCTCACCATTTGAAGAAGCCACAGTAAAGCTAAACATTTCCCATCACTTCCCACGCAAACGCCATCTTCTGTACCTGAGACTCATCAGAACAGCCTGCTTGAGTCTGATTTTGCATGACAACTACTTGCATTTACTATTTCCATATCCCGGTCATTTCCTTGGGGGCAAGGACTATTTATTCATCTTTTTTTCCACTTACTGGCATACGACATATTCCTGAATACTGAGCAGAATCAGTCTGGCATGATAGATTCTAATAAATATTTGTTGAACCAATTAATAAATATTTGAATATGTTCATTTAATATTTAATGTGCCATTATACACAAGAAAAGCTAAATGTCTCCCAAGAAGAATGACTGACCTACCGTCACACCTAGGAAACGGGTGGTTCCAGTTTCTGTCGATCCCGTGCTGGCAGGTGAGGACAGGGTGGCCGATTAAAATGTACCCGGGATAGCACTCAAAAGAGATGGACTGCCCCACACTGTAGTCGGAGTTGACCATGTAGCCGTTCTGAAAGGCAGGGGGGTCCGGGCAGTTCTGGAGCTCGTAGGCTGAAATACACAACAGGACCAAGCTTGTGAACAAGACGGTAAGTTACTCTGGGATTCAGAGGAGGAACAGGGTTCCATTTAGCTTCTTAAGATGAACTTTGAGATATGTTTTAAAAAATATAGATTTTCCAAGCTGCCAGCTGTCATGCTAAGTAAAACAATAATTAGTAGTAGTAGTAGGGTTATAACAATTTACATTTTATACTTACCATGTGCTTTAGAAGTAATATAACACATTCCAAAAATAAGTTTGATAATGTTTACCTTGTAAAAAAGTATATAAGATGCATTTAATAAAAACAGATGATAATAAAAGGCCTGAAAGAATGTCTGGTGGACATGGGCCTAACAATTCCCTTCTGATTTATAAGAAAATTATCCTGGTACTCTGATCCAAGTGCTTCTAATTAGATGTTTTATTTATTTAATGTTCAATGCAAATAAAATAGGTTTATTCCATTTTCTTTATTTTTTAACTGTACAATTGGGGACGGGATTGAGACGTACACATTGGTAGTTGGGAAATAGTTACAGGATGTAAAGTACAGCAATGGAAAGACAGTCAATAATATTGTAGTAACTCCATATGGTGCCAGGTGGGTACTGGAAATATCCGGGACCACTTTGTAAAGTATATGTTTATCTCTCTCATACATACACATACACACAAACACATGTGCACACGTATGCAGGCACAAATGCAGATGCACACACACCACAAGTGCACATACCATGTACACACACGTAAGCATGCATATATATAAAAGTACACAAACACACCACATGTACACACACACATCCATAACCATGCACACACATCATAAATGCGCACACAAGCACATCACACATGCACACACATGTACACAGGTATACACACATGCACGCTCACATAGCACACCCAGGTGCACACTCATACACACGCACACTCCTTTTCTCCAGGCCCTTGTCCTCCTCCTTAGGCCAACCTGGCAAACACACAGCAAGGTCCCCGCCTCTCCCAGGGCCGCCCCCACTGAAGGCCATAGAAGCCTTTCCCTGAAAGCCAGGCCAGGCGGCCGGCCCAGCAGAGCCCCAGCACGCGGTGCGAATCCCCACTAGATGCTGAGTCAGAAATTGCTCTATGGCCCTGAGTCCCCAAAGAGCAGAGTCCCACACTGCACTTCGGCCATCAACAGGTTTCCTTCCTTCTTATGCGCTTTTAGAATGAAATCAGCCCTCTGCTCTCAGTCTTGTCTTGCTTGAAACACAATAAACTCGGCTCCAGAAATGAGTCCTCTGATATATCAAATACAACCGCTAATAAAACTTTTAAAAAACTATAAAAAATGATGGCCGGTTTCCATGGAGGCAGCCAAATGCACCTACGCTCAGCATCCCTTGTCTTCCTTGGAGGGTTCCGCTCCTCATTTAGCGGCGCCCTGGGTACCGAGACCAGCGTCAGCTACCACACGCATTACATACAATGTCACGTGAGCAGGGATTCCTGATGAGCTGTCCTGTGAGACAGCGTTTGACACACCCACATGTCCAGGCTCTGCCTGGGTGCAGGGAAAAGTGGCTGCAGTTTGGCTCCACGTCTGCCCTGCCTACAACCCTGAATCCCCCCCAGTCCTTGGCTCCCCTCTCCATAAAAAAATGAATCTGGGCCCAGGTAGCATCCGAACACATACACGTCCTCAGGATTCCTGGGACATGCACATACCTACATGCACCAGCTTCCCAGCCCAGCCATTTCCCTCTAACGACAAGGTCGGCTGTCACCTTCCTCTGCAACAGGCTCTGGTCCGGGTCCCACCTTCAGACAGATTCTCTGCCTGAATGTCCTGCATCGGCGCTGTTAACGCCTCGATCCCAGCAAGTACTGATGGAGGCCCAGGCTCTCCGGACTCCCCGAAGGCTCGGCTGGGGTGCGTAACCAAGCTGCTTGCTCGTAGCTGTGGCTACAAGAGCGTCTTGCGCTTCGACCAGCCAAAGATTAAGTGCCCGGCTGTCCTTTTGGACAAGAGCTTCTACACTGTGGAGAACCTTAGGTCCAAAGGAACCAGTGGACTCACGGAGGCTACGGACCCCCACCCAGACTCAGCGCCTGCTCCCTGCACGGCTCTGGAAGCTTGGAGAGGCCAGATTAAGAAGCAGGCAGAGAATCTCCACCGGGAGGCGGGCGCCTGAGGCTCCAGCGACCCGGAGGCGCACCTGCGACGTGCACTGTCTGGTCGCTTTAGGTCCGGAGGCGTCGGTCTCCTGAGGGAAAGAGGTGCTGAGAGTTTTACTTGACTCAGCAAACCCTCGTCCTCGCAGGGAGGGAAGTGGCCAACTTTTAGGATTTGGACACTCGCCTCTCAGTCTAGAGCAGGAATCACCACTCCCGGAGCCTTTTCCACGCTGGGAAAGGGTACGCTCAAGGGGACGGGAGTCGGTGCAGCTGTTTAAAGCATTTTTCTGTGCACAGACCCGTGTGTACAGGGCCTCGGGCCGAGGCAGACCCACCCGCGGGTGAGTGCAGCCAGCCCGTCCTCAGTCTTCCAGGTAAGAAGTGGCTCAGACCGTCGCTGGAAGGAAGGAGGGGGACCGCTTGGGGGCACGTCCAGGTCAGGTGCGCGTTACAGGCGTGTCCGTGGGAACAGGTGGAGGCCCTTCCGTGGCTCCCTGCACACGGAGGCAGTTTAACTGCCTCTCCTTTAGGGGAGATGCTGGTGTCTACAGACCGGCTCCCCTTTGCTCGGAGACTCGTTCCACTAAAAATTCAACAGTTTTCGGATTGCGGGAATGACTACGGAGATTCACAGCCCCTGCTATGTTTTGTGTGGTTTTCTTGTTTTTGTTTTTAAAGGCACTTTGCACATACAGCAGAGGGAAAGCAAAAGAGTGGAAGGACCTCTGATAAAAAGACCACCTTTCACCGCCGACGGCCAAGGCCCTTGGCACTGTCTCTACGCTTCTCAGCAGTGAGCAATTACGCCCGTAACACAGCAAGGAGACAGAGACGGGGAGAGGGTGGGAGGCAGGAAGAGAAATGTTCAATTTCTCCAAGTGTCAAGTTACAAAAAACCAAGAAGTAAAGAGAGCCACTGAAATTCCGAATATGCCACAATTTCGAAAATAGTATAAAAAAAATCTTCGTACCCATAAGCCCCTGCCAATACCACCTGTGTGAGTTAACACAGACCTTCGCCTTGCCCGGGGCTCCTTTGTTTGTACCCAGGAAAATATCTATTATCCCGTCTATCCATCTCAAGCCGTGTTTAAATTTCAGGTGCCTGATGTGACAGCCGACGGGATCATGTAGCCATCTGTGTAATATTCATTATATTTTCTGACGCAGGTCTAATTAGTTGATAAAAATCTCCATTCTGTCACCCGCTTTCCAGTTCCTGAGTTAGAAGAAGGTGCATGAACTCGACTTTATTGAGCACGGTTCGTGGACTTCATTCCTCCAGCTCTGAGGAATCATTTGACTTCACGACAGCTACATCTGCGCGTAACGTCTCTGACCTCCACACGGCCATAAATAAATGACAAGGTCGGGGAGGAAGAGGTACGACACAGACACCGCTGAGAATGACAGGGATTCTCTGCATGATTTATGCACCTTCCTATGAGTTATTCATTACGCGCTTAACTTATAAATCTGCAGGGGAACCTGGGAATTCCGGTGTGACATACGGATCCCAGGTGTGTCATTTTGCCAGTTTTTAAATTTTGTAAAATGATCAACTATCCAATTAAGCTTCATCCCTGTCAGAAATGATACCCCGTGAGAAATTACAATGCCTCAAATTCATATTCTTCTTTTTTATTTTATTTTTATCTCTCTCAGTTACAGCAAATTAATTACCCATTATAAAAATATATTATTTAGGATTTTTTTAAATGTGGATACTTAAACTTAGAGTCATATGTCAAGTAAGTAAAACATTCACTCAGCTAAGCAGATGTTTGGTCTAGACGGGGACTCCCTGGTCCAGGTGCCCAAAGGCCAAGCGGAGGCCAAGGCGGCAGGAAGCCAAGGGAAACTTTAATCCAATGTTTCCACCTTTGAAAGAAGCGGCCAGGCTGATGCTTCAGGGGCTGTCCCCAGGGGGGAATGCTGGACAGATATTTCCAGGTTCTGACATTGCAAGAGAAAACGGGAAAGCGCATCTGTGGATATTTCACCAATTATGTGAAATCTAATTCCAAATGTTGACAGTTTAAAAATATTAATATTTTGCTAACCCATCGCAGTAACTGTATGACTCCGGTCTAGATGATTCCAACACAGGCCTTTTGTGGGGTTTTGTGTTTAGACTATTATTTTTGTATTCAACTAATCCGTAACTTTGGAACTAGGTAGACATGGCCTTAGTAACCTTATCTAAAAAATATCAAGAGAAGTAAAACAAACATTTTTTGAAACTATGGAGGTTAGATGTTATTATGTAAGATAAAATACAGTTTTAAAATTACATGGCAAACAAAACTCTCATGAGATTTTTTTCAACATCATTTTTATTTTTAAGATGTGTGTACGATATTCTCAAATTTGTTAAATTATTTTTAAAAATTAACTTTCCAATCACAGCTGATGCAACATTAGCTTCAGGTGGGTAGCATCGTGATTAGACACGTATATATCTTAGGGAGTGATCACCTCACGGGACTATTAAAGCTCTATTTTGAGGGCAGCCTATGAAATTAAAGAAAAGAGGCGACGTAGCCGGGTTAAAAGGAAAAGGCCCTACTTCTGACATTTTCAACTTCATTTGATTTAACAACATTCAAGAAAAGGCCAGTTAGTTATTTTGTAGGAAATGAAAATTTTGAACTTTTTCACATGTCAAAAACGCTATAATGGCCGATCCAAACTGTTCATGGAGGCCTCATATTTTGATAGTTTAAGAAAGAACGCAGTGCATTCCCTGAGTTTTTTTCCGGCTTAATTGGAATATGATGGAAAGAGCACATAGGGCCATTATTTTAGGCTGAGAAGACGTCAGGACGTGGGCGACACTGCCCGACCCACTTCTGAGATGAAGGGCCCCCCGCACGGCCGTCCCGGGGACACGAGACCCCCATGTGGCTAAGAGGACACGTGCCCAGTGAGAAGACGGTGTGAGGGTGAAGCTCTGTGGCTTGGAAGGCGCGTGACGGTGGCCACAGGGCAGTGAGAGGGTGGGTGGGGCTGTGGCTGTGTGTGGCTGACTGTGCCCCTGGTGTCCGTGTCCTTCCTGCTGGGACGAGAACAGCAGTGACCCCGCCACCCCTCGGCAGAGCCCTCCTCTAAAAACGAGTCCAGTCGAACCAGCTTTCAACCGATCGGGGGGTTTACATCGGGCACAATTCACCCGCGAGAAGTGCCTTTGAACTTGCTGGGTGCCTCACCTTGGTAGGCCAGCTTGAAGCCCGGCCGGTTCTGGGAGTGGTCGCTGTAGAAGCGGACGAGGGTCTCGTGCGTGGTGCTCAGCAGCGCGGGCGGCAGGTCGGGGCCGCTGAACTGCCCGATCATGGGGCTCGTGTGGTAGGGTCCGTTCTGGATCTCCAGGTAGTCGTGATTGGCCTCCGTGGAAAAGTTCAGGAACTGAATATGTGCCCCTGTGAGGAAATGTGCACAATAAGTGAATGTTAATATCAAAATTTGTAAAATCGACGTTTATCCAAAGTGACTGCATTTTATTAGTGGCCCCAAACACTGTCCCTCCAGGAGGCAGACGGGGCAGTGAAGGGGCCACTCACTCACTTTGGATTACGAGCGACCTTGGTCCAATTGCACCCCTACCACCCAGGAGCTGTGTGACCTTTATCTATGCAACCAATGCCCCTGAGCCGGCTTCTCGGTGAGACAGGAACAGCACCAGCAGGTCAGTGCGGAGACACATGGGTGTCATTCTTGGAGCGCTGACCGGGTCTCGTGCCTGTGGCTGTGATTCCGTCCGGCTGCCGCTCTAATATCACCATGAACACACGGTGGTAACTGTCAGGTCACCCAGGAGGTGGGTTACAGCTTCACCAAGGCAGGGGCTGGCGCAGGTCTGAACATAAATGCAAAGAACTCTCCAAGTGGCTTTTAAATGGCCCATCCACTGCACAGAGCTTTGCTCCTTTAGCAAGAGATCCTTTCAACTGTGTTTTGCAGGCAAAGCAAGTCACTGGTGTTTGCAACAAACCGAACCAATAAACCCGCCGTAACTCTCACAACTCAGCCTAACAGCCCGGCACCGGTCAACAGCCTGAGACACTCGGATGACCCATGGGGCTGGGGTCACGTGGACGTGTGCACAAGATAAGCTACAGCGGATAATTCAGAAGCAAAGCAACGTCCGAACCGCGGGGCTGTGGCATTTTTGAACATTTACGTGACCGCTGCGTCTGAAGTACTTTAATCACATAAGCAGTTTAGAGAGAATTCCGAAGGCAGCCGTTTTTACATAAACCCAGGCAATTAATTTGGGTTTGTACAGCCCAGACTAGGAGGTCAACAGCTCTTACAGATTATCCTGCCCACGCTTGAGAAGAGCTTTGCTCTGTGCTCCTCTCCTGCTCTCGGTAGATAAGAGCTTCGATGTCACTGTTCAGCCAACACGCTTGTTTCCGAGGTTGGAGAACTAGAGGTAATGCTTCCACGGTTACCCACTCGGGCGCGGGTGCAGGGAAACGAAAAGCGCACGTAGCCCCTGGGCCGTTGATGGGAAACAGTCGCCCTGGCCAGACTCAGAGACAAAGGAAGAAGAGGCCCTCATGTCAACAGCGGGGGGAAGGAACATCTAAACCTGCTCAATGAAATGCAAAGTCATCCAAAATCCAAAACCACCGGCTCCATCAGATGCAGGAATCTCTGCGAGGAAGGAAAGAGCAAATGCCGGTCTTGCTGGTCGGGCGTAGGGCAGGGCCAACCACCCCGCTCGGGAGGCAACTCGCCAACCAGATCTTCCCTCCCGGTTCCCCAGGAAGGGGAACTGCTGTCATCAGGAGCAAACCAAGGCCCAGGGAGGGGAGGGTGACGCCCGCGGCAGTGGGGAGGGGGCGCAGCGTCACGAACAGCCCCGGGGGACACACCCTCCCCTGCGCTGGCTCAGCTGCAACGCCCCCGACAAGACCAACAGTCTCATGATGTGAAGGTTCTCCAGTCCTTGGAGAAAACTCTTTTGCCTTAAAAGTGTTCGGCCCCGGCTGGGAGAGGAAGGAAAAGCGGAGCAGAGTGTGGAACCGTTCAGGGGAAGCCAAGGAAGCAGAGGGCAGGAGGAACCGCCTGGGAGGAGAGAAGGGCCTTGAACGTCAACCAGAACGTGGAATTCAATGCATATGCATCCTCCAGCCCGACACGCGAGCGCAGGCGCAGCCCAGGGAGGCGGGTCCCGGTCTGCAGGGCCCGGGGACGCTAACGGAGGCACGGCACACACCCAATACGCAGCAGCTCTGTAAACTTAAACTCTATAAATGTTTTAAAACATCTAATATTTTTCTTCTTTGAATGCCAACAATGAGCTGTTAATTTTCTTCTCAATTCCAGCAAATATGTTTGGACAAAAGAAATTTGGATGCAGGAAAAAGAGAGAGAGAGAGAGAGAGGTTGAGAGGTTGGAGGGGGGAGAGGAGAAGGGGAGGGGAGGGAGGAAAGAGGGCCAGTGGCCCCCTCAGCCCCTCAGTTCCCACCTGTCCCCCCCACAGCTGTGACGGGTGGACACTCGGCCGTTGGGAAGGTACACATCAGAATCCAATTTAGTTCCTCACCAGGTGATGAATTAAAAATACAGTTTTCTTTTTAGCATGGTCCACAAATCTGATAAAAGAGAGCACTGTTACTAGTAAACTCTAACAAATCATTCTGTGTGTGCGTGTGCATGTGTGTGCAGGTATGTGTGCATGTGTGTGTGCACGTGTGTGCGTATGTGTATGTGCGTGTGACTGTCCAGGCCCCTAAACCCCTGTGGCCTCCAGTTTCCTAAACGCCCACCACGTTTGTCGCCAGCAGCTAGAATGAGACATGGACCGAAAACAACCAAAACCAGCTGCTGCATCACTGACATTTCCGTCCCAGTGCAAACAGCACCCGAAGGACGGGAGGGAGACCAGGGCAGGGGCCCAGCACCTACCACACTTTCCACTTTTGGGTATAAAACCAAATATCAGGGAAATGGCTTAAAATGGGTTCATCCCAGGTGTGCAGACTTCAGATTATTTATCAGATTACATTTTGAAATTCATAGGACGTAGGAAACAGGGAACAGGGCCTTTCCTGATTCGGAATTAAACTGAAAATGGAAAGGGAATTGTGACAACTGCAATATTATGAACTAAATTAATATTTTAAGCGGGATAAAGTGTCCACAGCTATCAAGCCGCCCGCGCCCATCGGGACACGGGGCAGAGCCGGCCCTCATCCGGCTCGAACGGAATCACTCAGCCGTCTAACTTCCAGCGCGCGGCGCCCAGTGTGACGTCGCGGAGCCAGCGGGACGGGATTGGAGCCGAGCATCACCCAGCCGCCCTGTTGCTGTCTCACAGACACTGGGAAACGCGGTTTTACAAGGACAGGGACGTGCCTGCCCCTCTCGGGCGGAGCCACAGCGCATGGCCGGTGGCCTGCTGTCCTTCCAGGTGGAAAAGTGAGTGTCCCTCCCGGGTGTGTGACCTTGGACTCCGACAAAACCCTGAGTGCTCGTGTGACCGCGGCTCCCGAGCCTAACCCTTGTTTAGTAGTTCAGGGGATGTCTGAATACTCATTGCTCAGGTGTGCGTCTTCTGCGTGTAAAAACAAACACACGCGCGCGCAAAACAGGCACGAGGGCGAATAGCCTAGAACTCAGGGAATATTCTAGAGAAGCTTCTACGCCCGCCCGAGGCTTCTAGATGCTCCAGGGGAAGGTCACCTTGGGCGGCGAGGAGGCAGGGTTAGTGCCCCGGTTTGTAAATGCGAAAGGTGACAGCTAAGCAGAGGAAATCTGGCTGCATTTCTGTTAACTACGCCTTGAGAAATTTTCCAGAAAATAGAGACAGGAATTCCGAGTCGATCGGGCTCATCCCAAATCACACCCGGCAGCCAGCTGTGTAAAGGGAGGGAAACAGCAGAGTCACCGGAGGACTGGGTTTGGCTGCTGAGAGCGGCGACTGTCAGCGACGCCCCCCCCCAGGGGTTTGTGCTGCCCGCCGGCCGCGGGCTTATCAGGTAAGTGACCAGTGACCGCAGCGGTCAGGGCGGGGACGCGGGGAAGCCTGGGTCCCCGCCACCCTGGCCTGGGGGGGGGGTTGACATGAGGAAGTGAGGGAATCTCACCAATGAAAACACAGAGACAGACTCACAGACACGGAAGACAGACACACGGTCCCCAGGGGAGGGGGGGAAACGGTGACCGAGAGTGAGAAGCACAAACCTCCAGCGGTCAGTGGCTGCGTCAGGGACGCAACGTGCAGGGCGGGACCCGTGCACCGCACTGTAGTGACCGTGGGGGGACAGGCGTCACCGGACTCACCGGGTGATCGCCTGGTAAGGCAGGTGGATGCCCGGTCGCTCGGTTGGGCGTCTGAGTGCCCTATGACATCGCATGTCAGCGATACTTTAAAAAGAAAAACATAAACATGTCTGTGCATCTCCCACCGAACCCCTGGCGCCTGCTCCAGGCGATGTGCCGGCCACGGCCGTGCCCTCAGGACCCCACGGGAGGACACGACCCGGCTGCAGCGCTTCCCAGGCCTCGGCGCCATCGAGCACAGGGCAGAATTACCGCCTCTGCTCAGAATTTATGATTAAAAAACGAAACTAAACTAAAAGCCTGGGGGCAACACAGAGCTGCTGCCCCCCTGTGAAATCTCTGCCCTCTGGGTGGCCCCGGCAGAGCAGCGGGCGTGGGCCTCACCCGGGGGCGCCTTCTGGCCCCTGCCTTTCTCTGGGCTAACGCTGGACGTCTGTCCACAGCACGTCCGCGTCCTCACACCTGACCGCTGCCTACCCAGCCTACCGCCCATTTTCCCTCCCGGCCGCTGTCCCCTCCCTTCCCTTCCACGGAACAGCTTCACCTGCCGCGGGGCACAGGGTCTCGAGGCAAAGCTTGAAAACTGTTTAAAAATACGACCTTCTTCCAGGGCGGCGACGCCCGTTTTTGCTCCTGTTCATTAATCTTTTGCAACGTTTCACCGGCGAAAATTACTTAGTACACAAGTCCCAACGACTCTGTCCCAGGACACGGTGTCTAACCCGACAGCCCTGCACACGGTGCTGCTCCTAGAAAAATCAGAGGTGGGAAAACCCCAGCTGATGACCTGACGCCAAGGCAGCCGCCGGGCGGGCGGGATGGGAAATGACGCTTTCCCTAAGGCCGCGCTCCTGAGGGAGCCACGCGAGCCGTTAGGGACACGGCCCCTAAGGTCAGGAATTCTTTAGGAGGAATGACCTGAACGGTCAAAGCTAAATGTTATACGGAGCCACTTTCATAAACAGAAATCAAGACAATATTTAATTTTAAAATGATAGATCATGTGCCAAAACCCGAAAAAGCCTTAGAACTGTTAACCATACACACCGACTGTTGCTGAATTGCGTGGGCGGGTTCTAGAGGCAGGATTAGGAGCGAGGAGGTTGATCGTGGAGCTGGGGGGGTGCCGCCCGGGGCGCCCCGAGCGCCCGCGGTGTCACCCTCGGGCGGCCGGCCTGCCCTGGAGAGGGTTGCAGGGCCCGATCGATGTCCCCAATAACCCCCTGCTCTCCCAGTCGCTCTGACCAAGCTTCCTTTACATCTGTCCCCGGGCTGAGTCACAGACACCGTCACGTGGACAGAAAAGGTGCGTTTTTTAACTCAGCTGACTTCCTGCTGAGACGGAGCCGACGGAGAATTGCGGGGAACCCCCGTTTCACTCACCGTAGCCCACGGGCAGGGCGATCCTCCAGGTGCAGTCCAGGTTGTTGGGGTAGGCGCCGGGGAAGCCGGGGCTCAGGATCACGCCCCCCACGCCGCTCAGGGTCCCTCCGCACATCGCTGGAGAGGGGACAACGGTTTTGATGTCAGTCGTCTTCATCAGGGCTGTTCATTTTAATCACCAGGCCTTGAGGTTTTCAAGAGCTGGTAGGTACCTATCACCTCCGTATGAATTTCTAGTCCCAACACCCCCCAGCTGGAGTTAACCCGAAGCAACCAGGTGAACAACCGCCAGGGACACCTTTCCATCCCGGGTCGGTCCTCGCTCCTGGGACGCGCTCTGGGCCGTCTCCGGGCCTCGTTAGGAACGAAGGGCGAGCGGGCGTTAGGGAAGGGGGTGTGTCTTCGCCATTGTTAATAGGCGAGGTGTTTATATAAAAGGTAAAAATGAGTGATATCTGGGTAACACAGGGTGACCGTGCAGATGAAACACCTCCTCACATAACCCGGACTGCCAGCCGTGCCGCAGTATTTGACTGAGAGAATTTCATTTCGAGGTTTAAAATATTAAATCCCCAAATCTAAGGGAGAGTTCTGCGTTTAAAACTACGCCAGGAGAGCGATGGAGTGTGTGGGGCAGGCGGGGAGGGGCCGCCCCGGAGGTCAGACCTGGTTCCCTTACAGGTGAGCTGGGGAGTTTCCTTTTTTTAAAAAACACATTCAGAGAGAGGAAGGGAGAGGGAGAGAGAGAAACATCAATGACGAGAGCCACTGATCAGCTGCAGCCCGCAGCCCGGGCCTGTGCCCTGACCGGGAATCGAACCCCGATCTCCTGGATCCTAGGTCGACGCTCAACCGCTGAGCCGCACTGGCCGGCCAGCCTGGGAGTTTCAAACCCCCACACAAATACCTTCAACTTGTTAGGTGACCGGAGAGTCTAGACATTTATTTTTTTACCAAGAAGTCACCTTCACACACACAAAAATATGGGTCACCAAGGAACGCTGTCCCCATAAATGCACAAAATCCTGAACGTAGCCTGACATGCAGTGTTGCCTGGACGAGGCTCACAAAGGCGGACTCTGGGTTGTTCCAATGGTTCAGCTTAGTTTTATTTTCCTCTGGGCACAGCTCCACCTGTTTCCCGGTCAAGATAGTTCAGTCGTTTATCATCAGAAACTCTTTAATACCCAGGATCTGAGTGAGATGCGGGGAAACCAGGCTGAGGAAGGCCTGACACAGAGCGGCCACCCCGCGGGGACCGGCAACACTGCGCTGTCACGTCCTCTCGAACAGGCCATAGCCCTCCTGCGAGGAGCTCGGAGGACACTTGAGGGATGTGCTGCGGCCTTTAAAATTGCCTGCTTTACACCCGGCCCATGTGCTCAGGGGCGAAGCCTTGACCTATGAACCAAGAGGTCAGGGTTCGATTCCCGGTCAGGGCACAGGCCCGGGTTGTGGGCTCGATCCCCAGTCGGGGGCGTGCAGGAGGCGGCCGATCTGTGACTCTCATCATTGATGTTTCTCTCTCTCTCTCCCCCTCTCCCTTCCTCTCTCTCTAAAAACAATAAAAACATATATAAAAACTGCCCATAAGTGTTGAGCCCGCTCCCCTGAAATCCCCGGCACTGTGGGGGTGCCTGAGGGTGGCGGTGGTGAGACCAGCGGTTCCTAGTGGGTCCCGGGGCAGTTCTCCGTCTCAGCCGGGGAGGGGCTGTGAGAAGCGACCCAGTGACTCTGTCCCGCCCACGCTCCCTGGGAGTCGGTCATTACTGGGCATTTGTGAAGCAACATCACTGAGGGCCCACTGTGTGCTAACAGCCCTGTCTTTGGGATCCTCGGGGCTGCAGGGGAGCAATTAAGTCGCAGGAAGTTACGTGACACCTCCACGTGAGAAAGTCCAGTCAGAACCTCCTGTGAGCGCTGCTGCGCCCGGGGTGCGGGACCCCGCGCAGGGCTCCGAGAGGCGAGGCCAGAGAGGGGCCTCCCTCCAGTGCGGGTGTGAAGAGGGTGCCTGCCCCTCGTTGATATGTTAGAGCAATATTTGGAAAAATCAATAGTAATGCAAAAAAAACCCCAGACAAACCAAAAAAAAACTCAATGATATGCAAAACAGAAACTTTTAAAAAGGACAGGATGGTTACTACTGATCTCTCGTGTCAGGTGCTAACATGGCAGGCGGGGCGCTGCAGGTGGAGGGGGTGAGCGGTCATGGCAGGNATAAAAACTGCCCATAAGTGTTGAGCCCGCTCCCCTGAAATCCCCGGCACTGTGGGGGTGCCTGAGGGTGGCGGTGGTGAGACCAGCGGTTCCTAGTGGGTCCCGGGGCAGTTCTCCGTCTCAGCCGGGGAGGGGCTGTGAGAAGCGACCCAGTGACTCTGTCCCGCCCACGCTCCCTGGGAGTCGGTCATTACTGGGCATTTGTGAAGCAACATCACTGAGGGCCCACTGTGTGCTAACAGCCCTGTCTTTGGGATCCTCGGGGCTGCAGGGGAGCAATTAAGTCGCAGGAAGTTACGTGACACCTCCACGTGAGAAAGTCCAGTCAGAACCTCCTGTGAGCGCTGCTGCGCCCGGGGTGCGGGACCCCGCGCAGGGCTCCGAGAGGCGAGGCCAGAGAGGGGCCTCCCTCCAGTGCGGGTGTGAAGAGGGTGCCTGCCCCTCGTTGATATGTTAGAGCAATATTTGGAAAAATCAATAGTAATGCAAAAAAAACCCCAGACAAACCAAAAAAAAACTCAATGATATGCAAAACAGAAACTTTTAAAAAGGACAGGATGGTTACTACTGATCTCTCGTGTCAGGTGCTAACATGGCAGGCGGGGCGCTGCAGGTGGAGGGGGTGAGCAGCTGGAGGGTGTGAGCGGGCATGGCAGGTGGGGCGCTGCAGGTGGAGGGGGTGAGCGGGCGTGGCAGGCGGGGCGCTGCAGGTGGAGGGGGTGAGCGGTCGTGGCAGCACCAGGCACCGTCTCGTGTGGAAAACGGGAGGGGGATGGAGGGTCCAGGGCCCCGGCATGCAGCCTGCACCGGCCGTCCCGTGAGGCTGCACACACGTCGTCTGGATAAAGAGCAGCTCAGGGCGGTGCCCGTGGAGGCCTCGACAGGACACGTGGGCGGAGCAAGGACAGCTGTGTCCCTACCGATGCAGAGAGGGGGTGGGTAGTTCCAGCGACGCACGGTGCCCGGCATGCAGGAGATGTGGGAGCGGCCCTGGGGAGAGAAGACGGGGAGACTCACACACCTGAACGCAGTGTTCGCGGGCAGAGTGTCTGTGACCAGGTCCGTCCGTTCGGGGTTTACTTACCAGGTGAAAACTTCCAGAAGCCTGAAATGTATTTTCAGTGCCGTGCGTGCGTAGGTCACATATTTTACTCAAACGAGAGTAATCCGACCGTGTTCCCTCTCATTTAAAAACCTCTGCAGTGTCCCTTCCCACTGTCTACTCTGCTGCGGGCTCCTTGCTGAGGCTTAGGGATGGAGGGAGTTGAGCCAAATGCTGTTTGTTCACTTTTTGCATCATCATAAGCCATAGCTTTCGGTCCCAGAGGCTGGAAGTGACTAGGAAACGCAAGGTACTGATTCGAAGGGCGACGTGCCGGCCCTGCGGCGTCTGCTCATGACGAGGCAGCTCCCCGGCATCCGTGGCTCAGGCACGAGCCCCTCCGCCACGGCGGTCCAGCAAAAACCGGGTCAGGAGGCGATATTCCCCTCTATCAGGCAGCCCCACGGGCCGTCGAATCAATGAAACTAATGCCCATCGCCTGAAATCTTTATCATTTAAATGCACGAAGCCCTCAGCTGTCAGCCTCCCCGACCTGCTCCAGGGTCCCTCCTACACGCCGAAGGGCACAGGGTTGAATTCGGAGGCACCTGGCGCTAACACCTCTCTTACCGTGAAAGGAGACAGTGGTGCCTCCGTGTGCAGACTGCTCTACTTTTCCCTCACCGCGACTCCGTGGCTTATCTGCCACGTGCACTTATCTTGTGAATTTCCATTTGCCGCCCAGAACTGGCCCAGAGGCGACAGAAAAACAAATCTTAGCTCGCAGCAGATAATCCAGCTCATCGGGGCGCCTCCGTCGGGAACTGGCCCCCGAGGGGTTATCAACGACAACATTCCCGCGGCCAGAGCACCTCGNCGACAACATTCCCGCGCCCAGAGCACCTCGGCCCCTGCGCCTGCGCCAGAGCCCACGTCCTCGCACCGCCCGGCGTCCTAGACTCGCCAGGGTCCAGGGCGGCCCCACTTATCCGTAAAGAAGACGTCCGGGCGACGCTTCTCCTGCCGCAGTCCACGCTCCGAGCAGACTCGTTCCCTCATCCATTCAACTATCTTTATAAAAAATTTCTTCTGAATTATGGATAAACATAAATGCAAAACTCTTAAAGACACGTATTGATGACTAGCAATAAAACCGTCACTTATGACCAACCGAGCTCATGTCCTGCTCTGGATTTTGGTGTTGACATTCCACCGGAGTGGCTCCAGCTGAAATCTTGATCACAGACGCAGAACGAGACAGGACCCCGGGTGTCTGCACGCTAACTTAAAATGAAAATCGTCTCTCTTCGTATTTTCAAAGAACAGGAAAGCAAATGTAAAGACGATGGGAATCCTAAATCATTCAAATGTTCAGGACGTACTTTCCCTGTGACAGGTCACAGGACCTTCATGCCGTGTCCCTGAGGCCAGCAGGATGCATGTTTATAGCCATCTGTGCATAAACTATCCAGGAGCAGTCCTTACATGAGCTGCATGTCATTTACACATGCTGCCTCTCCAAATGCAGGGATGTGCTAGCAAAACTGTCGATTTCAGCCACTAAAATAACCCAGAATCCTGTTTTTACTCATGGGACAAACTGCAGCCTGGGAGCTCAGACCTGACCCGTCTCTAAGGGAGAAACAAACAGCTTCATCTGCATCTGAAAAACAGAGCGGCCAGTGGCCAGGCCTCCGGTGTGTCCTGGGCCTTCACCTCCAAGCAGGACATAAACAACTCTCCACAGGGAAGGGCCTCCCTAAGTCAGTCTCCCATCTCCTCTGGGGGCTGAGGGAGGCCCCATAGGAGATGCTCAAGTCGCTGGAAAAAAAGTCAGAAGGGAGGAGAGGGGCCAGCGGGTGCCGAAGGGCGAGGCAGGGAGCGGAGACCAGGGGCCATCTGCCCGCGCGAGTCAGTTTACCCCGCGAGCAGCAGCAGGCGAGAAACGCAGGTCAGTCTACGCCCGCCCATCCTGTACACGCACAACTTGCAGGGCACGCCAAAAACACGGGGCATGAAACTGTGTGTCAGGCGTCCCTTTCAATAAAATCCTTGGGACGCGCCTCGGGATTGTTTCCTCTGTCACCCGAGAAACAGGAGGCCTCGTCCCAAAGAATCAGTTAAAGGGCCTCCGTGGGCTCCGTTAAAACCCGCTGAGCCGGCAGCTCCCGCAGTGGCCCCCGTTCCGGGCAGGTCTGCCCACCCCTTTGTCGTCACCACAATTGTTGGGGAACCCAGGTCTGCAGACTGCGGGGCGGGTGGATTTCCCGCGGTGGCTTTACCTGTCGACCCTGTTTATAAAAAGCGGTGACGGATTTCCCTGGCTGAGCTGGGCGAGGTTGACGTCTCTAAACTCACGAGAGGCTGCTTCCCACAGGGGGGCCCACTTGCCCCGAGGTGCCCACCTCGCCAGGGTCTGCGCCCTCAGCTGCCGGGGCCTCACCAGCCGAGCTATGCCCTCGGGTCCCCGCCCCATGGGGGTTGAGCACAGCTGGAGGTTCTGGGCACTGAGCGCTCAGGGGCACGCAGGCCATCGGCAGCCGTGCCTGCCGCCCCCGAGGCTCATCTCAGCTCGGGGGACTCGCTCCCACACGGGTGCAGAACCTAAAACTGCGCAGGCTCCGTCCCTCCCTGCGGGGCCGAGGCCTGGCTCTGTGCTCACTCGCGTCTGTTATTGGCCAGCAAGGAAACAACTGAAAAAGGTTTCCTGGAAATACCGTCAGCGCCAACGTGGCCATAAACATACAGCGGGAAGCACCCTGCTGCCGGAATTCACTGAAGACCAGAAACCTAACTAGGCTTAAATATTTCCATTGGATTTTGAAATGCACGTGTTTAGCTGACCAGCGTGTGTTGCTGGGCAGGGAGAATTGCAGAAGGACGGTGCTTAGTGACACACAGAAAGTATTCTGGTTGTAAACTAATTCGTGTTTTAACCAGAAAATAAAAATAAAAAAAACAGAGAAATGACTAATGTTGCTACACATTAGTTTGTTTGAAGTTTATTAAAAGTTTTACATTAAAAAAATCTAGGGATTATAAAAACTGCTACCTAATATTCCCTGACGATTTCCTGAAGTGATACTTGAGGGGCCTCTTTCCCGGCAGAGAGCAGGGCTCAGTGGCGGTTCCTGGACCGAATGGGGAGGACAAGTGACTGGCGCAGGTGCAAGGACGGGGCTGCAGGGCGGGACGCGCCGAGACCTGTGCCCGCGCCTGTCCCTCAGGCTTTCGTCCATCCATTTAAAATGAGATACTCGCAAAAATAAAATGCTGGACTTTGCAGGAGCCCTTTGTCACTCACGAGCTATTTCCACACTGAACGTAAGACGACCGGCTTGCGTGAGGAACGTGACGGCCTTGATTTGCCGACCGAGAGGGAGAACCTGAGACCCCTGTGCAGATGGGAACCCAGGGCTCTGGCCTAGCCGGGCGGGAGGGGACCCCGGGGTGGCCCTGACACCCACCTGCAGCGTGTACCCCGGCTCGCACTGGAAGGCCAGCACGTCGTTCACCATGTACCGGTCGCCCGTCTTGAGCCCGTTGCTGGGCAGGGCTGGCTCCTGGCAGGCGGCGAGCCCCACGGCTGTGGAAATGCAGACACGCAGAGGTTACGTCACACAAGCCACATTCCTGTACCCGACTCGTCACACGGGTTTCTCTATTGCCCCTCCTGTCGGAAGAACAGAGGCCTGAGCCCGCTCACCGCCCCCCAAGAAGACTGTAAGTGGCTCTGCATCAGCTGAGAGCTAGTTCTCCAATATTAATTTATTTCATTTTAATATTGATGCATTTCATTTTAAATATTAATTGTTTTTGTTCTTGAAATACAATGTGTTTCTTCCACTTTTCATGTAAAACACTCCCATTCTAATTATACACAATTTGAAAAGTCCTTCAAGAATTGTGTTCCGTGTTAGACGCAAAACCCCACGATATTTCTTATTTATTGTTTTTCAAACATACTTAACAGTCTTTATGAAAAATGCTGAGTGTGAATCTGGGAATCCCTCCCTTTCAGAAAACAAATATGAGAACCAGTATTTCATATTCAAGCTCTCTCTCGGTCTCATTTAAAGACAACAAAAACTAATAATCTCACGAACAGTCTGTTCTTAGGTAAACAGGACCGATGTTTACAGACCCTACAGCTGCCACCAGGCGCTTTCCCAGCTGAAATGGCCTTTAGTTAAGGAGCTAAGGATATTTCAAATGTATCACAGAATATTGGGATCCAGCCTAAAATATCCGATAAGTTAATTCTAAGTATCATTTAACATTTATCTATATAAACCCGTATTATACCAATAAACAAAACACACAGCAATGGTATTTTATAGAATCAAAAATGCATTTGGAACGGCGCTAAAGATCTGGAGACTAATCTCTTCCATTGCTCTAGGGTATCTTCTTCTGACACCAGGTTTATTTTTTAATATATATTTTTAATTGATTTTAGAGAAAGGGAGAGGGAGAGAGAGAAACATCATCCATCAGCTGCCTCCCGCACGCCCCCTACTGGGGACCGAGCCTGAAACCCGGGCATGTGCCCCGACCGGGAATCGAACCAGCGACCTCTGGGTGCCCGGGGACAACGCTCAACCACTGAGCCACCCCGGCCAGGGCGACACCCGGGTTTAAAGTACGAATGGCTTATCCAGGGTGAGAAATGGGGGAAAGGGCTTTGGGACAGACCAGCGCCATGTCCCCGGTGCCCTCGGACTTAGACTTCGGCTCTTACCCCCAACGTCACGCTAATGGACAGGCGGGACTCCAGGTCATGGGCGGGATGGGGAGGGTGGTGAGACGTCACTGAATCCAGGAGCGAAAACCAGCGGGAAACCGGCAGAACGGGTCTGCGCGGGGCCTGGCGGCTCCGAGACCGTGGGTCCCCGGACAGAGCGAGGCGCACGCTGTTCACCTGCCCACAGGACGGGTCCCCAGGATGGGCACTCGGCCCACACTCTCTGCTCACACGCACGCTCCACCGTTTCACCGAACTTCACTTAAACAGCGTAGTCAGAGGCTAGTTATTAACAGGTTTCAGGTTGGAGACGCCAAGCCCAGCGAGCTGCTGAGAGCAGGGGCCAGTGCCGCCCACGTGCCCTCACACGGCCGCCGTGGGTCCAGGCTGCGGGGTCTGGACAGGCAGAGCCTGCAGGGTCCAGGAGGGGACGGACCCGGGACGGGCGAGTCACCGTGGAGACTACTCCTCACCGGAGCCTCGGCGCCAGGCGCTGGCGTCAGACACTAAGGAAAAGGCCAGCGGGAGCCCCAGGCCTGAGAAGATGGGACAGGGAGGGCGGTGTCCTCACTCCAGGGCGCGACTGTGACAGTTCCCGGGGGACACCTGCCCCGGTCCAGGGCCTCACTGGGCGATTCCAGCCCTGGACACAGGGGTTCTGCCTGCGACGAGCGGGTCTGAGCTACGTCACCGCGTTTCCTAAGCTGAAACCTCTCTCTCCCTAAATGGCTGCACCTTAAAAAGCAGGAAACACCAGATGCCTTAAGTGGCAATATCTTTTGTTCCCAGCACATTTGGGCCTTTCGTAGACCGTAAAATTGTTAAATATGAAAAAATACAACCACTTAGGCATCCACCTTGTTTCACTGGCACACGTCTCATTCTCTCTCCCTATCTTTTTAACTTTAGAATGCAGATTGCAGCTATAATTTAAATGCATTTATTCATATTAATTTATTTTCACTCTCTCCTTCCTTGACATTTGAGTACATCCAATTCATTCTGTTGAAAAGGTGACTTGCATTTATTCCTGGACCTGCGAGAATTATAATAACATTTCTGAATAAATAAAAACATACAAAAATTATTTTAATCAGAGTCTGATATGAGACGTCGCAGGAGGTGGTGACGGGCAGGTCTTGGTGTTTGAAACGCAGACGGAATCACCTTCCTTCCGTCTTAATCCAGGATCACTGCACGTTCCGTGAAAGCTGGCAGCCGAGGAAATGAAGATGTTTGGTTTTTGCAGCAACACCTCCTAGTAACACCATTTAAACAAACACGTGCATCCAGAATTAAGGTGCAAAGCAGAGAAGGGCCCCCGGATGACCCTCAAACACCTGTCAACTACTGAGCTGTCCGGGACCAGAGCCCAGTATTTCCCAGACGTTGACTCTGTGCCCTCAAGACGCCAACCCCGCCCACAGCACTGGGATGACTGGGCGGCAGGGACAGAGTGGACCGACGTCACGAGTGGGGCTCCTCCAGCGCCTGGGGACCCTGCCCCCGCACAGGGCGCCGAGCCACACAGCGGGCACCTTGGAGGCCCCGCCTGGGCTCAAAGAACCAGGAAAAGCCCTTTAAAGAAACATCCACCGGGCGCATCAGGACCTGAAACATAAACGTCAGTAAGGAGGCGAGTCAGCGACAAAGGTCTGCAAAACCTGGGACCTTGGAAGACAGAACAGCTAACTCCCTGACCTCGGGACCAGGCAGGCGCCCTGAAAGCTCTGGCGAGGAGAAGGGGCGAGACCATCGGCACGTAGGCGTCACGCTGATCACAGCGAGAGACAGACGCAGGAGCTGGGGACGGGTGACTTCCATCCACAACTGCGCAACACCCTTTAAGACCCCCAGAAAGAGAGTGACCTCTAACGACCCTCGTTTGGGCAGAGTTTTAGAAGAATAGGGTTTCAGTTGAGCAAAACTGATGTTTAATGTGTTAAATCACGGGCGGGGACACCACCAGTGGGACAAAACCGTGAGACCCGTCAACGAAGAGGTATTTGTTTAGACGCAAAAATAGGCCCCTGGAAAGACCTGGACAAACGGAAGAGCTGCTCTAAAGCCTCCCTGAAATAAGGCGTGTAGCACGCGCTCTGATGGGACGATCCCAAGTGTCTCTCAGACGCAGAGGCACAAGGAGAGCAAACGGTCAGGGCGTGAGCCCGTCTTTCATGGAAAAGGTCTCCCGTTCTTTCAGCGCGAAGGTTACCTACGCTCTGCATCACGAGCGATAGGACAGCAGATGCTGGAAGAAACGTTTCTTTCAAAGGCTGCTGACCGACCGACCGCCTGACCCTGGGTCACCAGGTGCCGTGATGAAAGGAAGACAGTCGTGCCTCCGACGGGCTTCGCCCACCTCCCAGGAAGGAACAGCAGGGCCGAGACGCTTCCCATCGCAGGGCCTTTACTCCCGCCACCCACAGACAGGCGTTCCGGCCACTTCAAACGTAAAGCCTGAGACATCTGGAAACGGTCTGCTTATGGAGGTGTGAGCAGGGTTCGAGGTGGCAGAGGAAGTGTTTGCCGCCCATGCGTCCAGCCCCGAGAGCAGGGACCACAAAGCAAAGCCACTCGAAAGACAAGCTCGGATCTGACCGAGGGTGCGGTCCTGCGGCTTCACCCCACCGACGGCCAAACCGGAGAAACAGCCTCATCGGGGCTTTTCGGCCGTGGCTCTAAATCCATCCAGCAAACTTCAGAGAACGGTTTGCTAAAATCTTGAAAATGAGAACGGCTTTGAAACATAATAAATAGGCAATTTCGTCAGATGTGCCGAGCAGGATGAAGGAGACCTTTGTAGGTGGAGCTGAAATAACCTGGAGCCATTTCTCTGGACTCGGCGCTGTGCTCAGTCTGACGGGTCGAGTGTGTGGTTTCCAGACTCCACGGCTCAAAAATCATGTCACGCTAATGGGAGAGTTCAAACAGTCACGCGGAGAAAACCAGAGAGGGGAAAGCAGGCTGGACGGAGAGACGGGGAGAGGTGGGTTATCGGGCAAAGAAGCCAGGGAGCCTGCGTGTGGGCACACGAGCCCTCAGCACACGGGCGGGTCATCCTACGCTCTATAGAATATATGGGCTATTCCTGATTTTTTTTTTTTTTTAACTATATCTTTATTGATTTCAGAGAGAGGAAAGGAGAGGGAGAGAGAGAGACAGAAACATCAATGATGAGAGAGCCATTGATCGGCTGCAGCCCACAACCCGGGCATGTGCCCTGACCGGGAATCGAACCCCGATCGCCTGGATCCCAGGTCGATGCTCAACTGCTGAGCCACGCCCGGCCGGGCTATTCCTTATTTTTAAAAAGAAAAAATTGTTGAGCACAAACTGTGCCGTGAAGAGATGGCTTCAGGAGACTTTTGAAACAAAGGCATTTAGGAAAAACCTTATGGATCCATGAATTATTCATATAAAGATAAATGCAAGCAGGGGCTCAGCAGGAAGCGAAGCAGGAGGTGGCCGGGGCACGCGGCCGGTGGGTGCCGGTGTCCAGGCTGCGGAGCCGGGGTGCTGGGCTCCCCTCGGGCCGCACAGCTGGAAGGTCCCTCGGCACCCCGGGGGCGGCTGCAGGGGGCCCCCTCGGTCCAGCCTCATCGCTTGCGGCTGTGCTCAGGCCACACTCAATCGGAGAACCCTCATTAGCATTATTAACGTAATAATAAACTACCGTTAGTCATGCATCACAACGTGCATGTATTTATAGGGATTATTATAATCACAGAGGCGTGATCCACGCTGCTGGTGTTCAGCTACGACAGCATCCTCTGTAGGACTTTCTGTTTCATGAGACTTAAGCCATTTTCAGGAATTTCCGTCGTTACTTAGGCAGTTCC